ATCGACAGTGAGAGTGGTGGGACAGACTGAGAGGAAGTGGTCCCTGACTACGTGAAGGGAGTCAGGGAGGCGTGTGACTATGTAATAGAGAGTGATGTACATGGGGGGGGGGTTCTTGGCGCAGAACTCAGCAGGAAGGGCGGCGCGGTAGCGAGTGTCACTAGTGCGGAGGTGCGTAATGAGGTCAGCGACAGTGGGAAAGGCAGCAAGGTCAGGAAAGAGGTACGGTAGCATGAGGCGGCTCAGGGCAGCAGTGGCAGGGGAAGAGTAGCGCGCAACTACAGCGTCGTACAAGGTCTGAGCACTCTTGTACTGACTAAAGTGCGCGCGCTCAGTGGTAGGCAGGTGGCGACGCACAGCAAGACGTGCAGCAGCATCGCGGGTGGCCCACTGAGAGCGAACAGTGGGGTCAGCATCAGCAGCAGGGGCAGGAGAGGCGCCAGAGGTGAGGTCAAAGAGGGAAAGACCGTCCGTCCTATCGCACTGTAAGAACAGCTGCAGGTCGTCGACCCAGACTTCAAAGTCAATGGCTCGACCCTCAGCGTCAAAAGCGAGGACACTAGGGGTAGCCATGACGACGACAGTGTAGCAGTGCAAGCAGTAGGGGAGGGGCACACAGTAACAGTGGTGCTGTGCTCACCAGGCAGGGCAGGTCGGGCGGCTCGGCAGTAGGGCGGCCCGGCGGCTGGGCGGCTCGGCGGCTCGGCTGCTGGGCGGCTCGGCTCCCGGGCGGCTCGGCGGCAGGGCGGCTCGGCGGCAGGGCGGCTCGGCGGCTCGGCTCCCGGGCGACTCGGCGGCAGGGCGGCTCGGCAGCAGGGCGGCTCGGCTGCTGGGCGGCTCGGCGGCAGGGCGGCTCGGCGGTCGTAGGCGGCGGGGCCGGTGAGGATAGGCGGCTGGGCCGCGAAGTGGGGCGGCGGGGCCGCGTAGGTGAGGGCGGCGAGGCCGCGAAGGCAAGGGCGGCGAGGCCGCGTAGGTGAGGGCGGCGGGGCCGCGAAGTGAGGGCGGCGGGGCCGCGTAGGCAAGGGCGGCGAGGCCGCGACGTGAGGGCGGCGAGGCCGCGAAGGCAAGGGCGGCGAGGCCGCGTAGGTGAGGGCGGCTGGGCCGCGAAGTGAGGGCGGCGGGGCCGCGAAGGTGAGGGCGGCGGGGCCGCGTAGGCAAGGGCGGCGAGGCCGCGTAGGTGAGGGCGGCGGGGCCGCGAAGTGAGGGCGGCGGGGCCGCAACGTGAGGGCGGCGGGGCCGCGCAGGTGAGGGCGGCGGGGCCGCGTAGGCAAGGGCGGCGAGGCCGCGACGTGAGGGCGGCGGGGCCGCGACGTGAGGGCGGTGGGGCCGCGTAGGTGAGGGCGGCGCAACGGGCCGCTAGGGGCGACACGGAGGGTCGCTAAAAAAAAAGAAAGCGCGCCTCGGGGCGCGCTTCGGTGGGCCCTAGAAACAGTCCCTAGGAGGGGACCTGCTCTGATACCATGAGAAAAGGAGAAAGCGAAAATGAATGAACTATGAATGAAGTGAGTACATATAGGAAACCCTAATTGGGTTGTACCCCCTATGGGATACCCCACTATAGCCTACACAACAGCATAAGCTATATATATGTTCTGACAATTGACGCATTCCTCCACTCAAAACTTCGCCGTCTTACTTATCAAATATACGTGATTGTGGAAGAGCACGATGGCAGTGGCTCTCATACGCTAAGAATCATTCGCTCTTGTAGTGAAAATATGTAGGGAAAAAATGTTTGAGGGGCTGAGAGCGGGGTGAAGTATAAAGGACGATGCTTTTGTATTGGGTAACGAGTGTATTCTATTTCCTTCACAACTTTGCTTGCTTGCCACGTGGGACACGAGGTTGATGTCTGAGCCTAGGATTCACTGATTTTTGGATGGGAGTTTCTCTTTGAACCAATTGGAGTGAGGCCTGTACTCCCACACCTCCATGTGGGGAAGGTGGTGGAAGCGGACGAAACATATGCATCAGTGTGCCCGATTGTTTCTTTTTTGCAAGCCTATGAACCTCAATTTTTGTCCAGGCTGTTTGATTCTAGGAGATGATAACCACCAGGATCACTACCAGTTGTGTAAGTGAACAAGGAGTTCCGGACTTCCCCTAAAGTAGGTAAATGTCCAGAAGGTGGGTAAGTGTATAGCAGATTAAGACCCACAAGCGTCCCAGGCTCAACCGGAATGGTTCAAGAACGAAGAGCTTGCTTTGGGGTAAATTCGTTGCGATAACCACTTGTGAAAGGGGAAGAGGGCTGACAGAAGGAACTTGGAACAACAATCACAACACACCACGATCCCCAGCCATGGCACCCCTGCTCGCCCTGTAGGAGTGCCTCACAGCTGTACTTTTTATGATCCTATGCGCTTCCACTTCCACCGCGCCCAAGTTAGGGTTTGCAAGGATTGCACAGGCCACGCGCTGGCGATTGTTGCATCCGCCGCAATTTAACAAAGCGTGTGGCTGAAAAACCTCTAGTTTTGGAAAATCCGCTGTGGCAATGCGATGCGACTCCTTGTAGGCTCGTTTGTTAGCTACCTGCTCGCTAGTTAAGGAACAAGCATGTAAGGGTAACCCCGTGTCCTTCACTTCCGTAGCATGGTATAGCACGTGTAGTACTATTGCTAGTCCTTCCGCATACGAAAACTCAGCAATAATTTTGGGTACTCTTCGCGCCGACTGTCACCGGCGTTTCGCAGCGCCGTTTAACCATGAGGCTGCGAGCATGGTTCAACGCAGGAACGGGCGATGCTATAGCTTGCGCCCGTAATTTTCTCCTTTATAGAATTCTCAAGAACCAGCGGGCCATGGTATAGTCGCGTACTTCTCGTATTAGAGCGTCTCTGTAGTAAGCAAGGCTCGCGCATTTCGCAGCGTGGTTTTAACCTCCTTTGGAGAATTCTAGTAAGCGACTCATTTGTAGCTTCCATGATGCGTCCCCACAAAGACTGAATGACTCTACTATTGCCATACGTCATGGCGTTCCACGAGGATTCAGCGGGACATCTACCAGTCGACAAGCCTTGTGACGTCGTAGTAACAGCACGCTTCGCCGTTTCCTCTCGTCGCAGTGGAATCAGAGTTCCCATTGGTTCCGATTTGTTCCCATTGGTTCGGATCAGTTCCGGTTGGTTCCGATCGGTTCCCATTGGTTCCCATCGGTTCGGATTGTCAAAAGAGTAAGCACAGTGAGGAGCCATAGCTAGGGTTTAGCTAGCTAGGCAAGAGAGAAATGAACAAAGGAGGAGGGTTTGACTAGCAACAGTTGGGATACAAATAGGAAACCCTAAGGGGCCGTACTCACTACAGAGTACCCCACTGCAGGCTAGACAAGCATTATAATCTGACACACCTCCATAGTCAAAGTGGGGTATAATCAGCACAGCAAGCAGTCATAGAGCAGGTTCACAAGGACAAGCAAAGCTAGAGGCATTCACAAAGGGCAAGTGAGGAGGAGGAGGCGGGACTATAAGAGGAGAGAAGATAGGAGGCGACGGCTGAAGCTGCAGACACACGGGCAACAGGAGCGGCTGGCACAGTGGCTACCGGGACAGCGCCCCGGACTACTGGAGTAACTGGCTCGGCAGCTACGAAGAGCGGCAGGAGCAACGGACCCGCGGGCGACAGGCGCAGCAGGCTCTCTGGGCTACCAGGACAGCGCCCCGGACTACAGGTGCTGCGGACGACAAGACGGCAGCCTCCACTCAACCTCCCCCGACCGTCCCACACCCCTCTCACACACCCCCTGCTGAAACCCTAGCTCCACTCCCACGGCAACCCCCTTAAACCCTAAACCCTCGGCTCCCACACACCCACCCCCCTCAGCGGCAGCTGCAGCAGTGGGAGACGGAGGAGGAGGAGGAGCTGCAGGTTACCCACACCGTTCACCCCCATGCCCGCCACCCCCAAACCCTAACGCAGGTAGGAGCGCGGGAAGCAGCAGGGGCGGTTCACGGAGGGAAAGGGAGGAGGCGGGGGGGTCTCCTGGGCGCCACGAAGGAGCAGGGCGCGGGCCCCCCGAGGGCGCCACGGCTGGTGACGGGAGGGGGGCCGCGCACGGGCCCCCGAGGGCGGCTCGACGGGCGACGGGAGGGGCCGCGCGCGGGCCCCCAAGGCGTCGCGACGAGGCGACGGGAGGGGGCGGCGCGCGGGCCCCCAAGGCGCCGCGACGAGGCGACGGGAGGGGGCGGCGCGCGGGCCCCCAAGGCGCCGCGACGAGGCGACGGGAGGGGGCGACGCGCGGGCCCCCAAGGTGCCGCGACGAGGCGACGGGAGGGGGGGACGGGCCCCCAAGGCGCCGCGACGAGGCGACGGGAGGGGCCGGCGCGCGGGCCCCCGAGGTGCCACGACGGGCGACGGGAGGGGGGCCGCGCGCGGGCCCCCACGAGAGCGCCACGACGGGTGACGGGAGGGGGTGGCGCGCTGGCCTCCGGGGCGCCGCGACGAGTGACGGGAGGGGGGGCAGCGGGCGGGCCCCCTGAAGACGCCGCGACGGGCGACGGGGGGCAGCGCACGGGCCCCCTGAAGGCGCCTCGATGGACGGTTAAACCGCCACGCGCCCCGAGTGCGCGGCGGGCAGAAAAAGGCGCCACGCGCTCGGAGCGTGTGGCGGAAAGAAAATAACACGTCGCGCACCACGGGGCGCGCGACAAACAGAACGACAGCGGAAGCAGTTGGTGGGCCCACAGGCCAGGAGCGTAAATGCTCTGAAACCATGTCAAAAGAGTAAGCACAGTGAGGAGCCATAGCTAGGGTTTAGCTAGCTAGGCAAGAGAGAAATGAACAAAGGAGGGTTTGACTAGCAACAGTTGGGATACAAATAGGAAACCCTAAGGGGCCGTACTCACTACAGAGTACCCCACTGCAGGCTAGACAAGCATTATAAACTGACACCGATTGGTTCCCATTGGTTCAGATTGGTTCCGAATACTGATACCATTTCCAATCTCTAATAAGGCGTCGTCGCCCTTCCCCCTGTTACCCGTTTCATCACGTTCGCCATCATGGCGACGACAGTGGTGTACAATGGCACGAGTTACAATGTTACCAACATAACGCTGTCGGAGGTGCAGGCACGCGTGGCGGCGCTGAACTCGTCGGTGCAGAGCATGCAGACGGAGGTGGAAAACGCCGTCATGCTCACCGCCGAGATCTGGCGCACCACGGCCGGCGTCTTCGTGTTCCTCATGCAGGTGCGGTGCCGTACGGTGAGAGAGCTTTTCGGTGCGGTGACAGAGATCTGGTGCGGTGAGAGAGCTTCCTGGTGCGGTGAAGGGATAGCAAGGAGACGGCTAGAAACAGGGTGCGCAGGTGGGTCTTCGTCTTCCTCATGCAGGTGCGGTGAGAAAGGTCTCTGGTGCGGTGAGAGAGCTCTTTGGTGCGGTGAGAGATGCGTCTGGTGCGGTGACAGAGAGGCCTCTGGCTATTGTGGGCTAGATTGGGCTAGGGTGGGCTAGGGTGGGCTAGAGTAGGCTAGGGTACGCTGGGGTAGGTTAGGCTGGGTGAGAATGGGCTAGGGTACGCTGGGGTAGGAGATGCGCCTTCCTTCTCTCCGCCTCCCATCCGTCTCCCCGCCTCTCATCCCACTCCTCGCCTCCCATCCCTCTCCTTGCCTTTCCATCCTTACACAGCGGGCTTTCCACTATCTGAGGCCTGTGCCGCTCGTTTTAAGAGCGTGCTAGGCAAGTGCGTGAGCAACATTTGTCGCTCACGTTTCACCCTTCTGCCCATCCCTGCAGCTGGGCTTCTCCCTGCTAGAAGCGGGCACGGTGCGGTTCAAGAACACGCGCAACATCATGATCAAGAACGTGCTGGACACGTGTGTGAGCGCCATCGCCTTCTGGCTGCTGGGCTACGGCATCGGCTTCGGGGAGGGCTCCAAGGTGTTCGGCTGGAAGTACGACGACGGCTCGGTACGGATGGGTGGTGATGGGTGGAAATGCTAGTTGAATATCTTCTAGTGCAATGATGGCATGGTATGTGAGTGAGATTGCTCAAAAGGCTTTGGAGAGGCTCCAAGGTGGTCGGGTGGAAGTACGGCGACGGCTCGGTACGGATGGGTGGAGATGGGTGGGTTGTGACGGGTGGGTGCGGATGGGAGTGTGCTATGGCCCAATGAGATGTGGTATGCCTGTACACGTTGGGGAGAAGCCTATTATGTGTACTTGTAGAGGAAATGTCAACTTCTGTTTGGTGCGTTTGTGTCAGACCTAATTGAAAGTATCCCTCCCTCCTTCCCTTCTTACCCCTCCTTTCCCACCCACTCCCTTTCCTCCGCCTTACCCCTGCTCCTCCAACGCCTGCCATCCTCGCCTTGCCTCCACCTCCCACACCTGCCATGTCATCCAGATTGCATACGCGAGCGGGCAGAATGGAGTCGATTGGTTCTTCCAGTTCACCTTCTGTGCCACGTCAGCAACGATCATTGCAGGGGCGGTGGCAGAGAGAACACACCTATGGGCCTACCTCACCTTCAAGTAATTCACTCTTTGCCTCGTTATAGATCATGTGCTTCGTTATAGGCTGTGCGTGCTTCAATACGAGCTGTTTGCTGTGAAGGTGTGTGTCGTTATTATTGCGCGCCTCGTTTCGAGTGTATGCCTCATTGAAGGCATATGCGTCGTTGTAAGATGTGCTTCACTACAAGCTCTATGCTCTGTTACGCTGTGTGCGCGGAACACCTTTGACCCGTTGTCTTCAACTAGTCCTTGGTCTGTCCGCAGCCCATCCCAGAGCAGGCAGCTGCTGCTGGCCCAATCCCCGCACTTCCCCTCTCTCCTCCCATCCATCCCCGTTGCTCACCTCACCCCCTGCTTCGCCAGCTTCTTCCTGTCAGCGCTTATCTACCCGGTGATAGCACACATGATCTGGTTGCAGGGGGGGCTGCTGTGCGGACTACCCAACCCCCTCACTTCCCACGCCCCTTTCTCCTCCCATCCGTCTCTATTTCTGGTCTCTCCCCTCCCTTTCCAGCTTCTTCCTGTCTGCGCTCATCTACCCGGTGATAGCGCACATGATCTGGTCGCAGGGGGGCCTGCTGGCGGCCAGTCAGACCAACACGGTGCTCAATACGATTGGCGTGCTGGACAATGCAGGCTTGATGGTGGTGCATGTCACTGGTGAGAGTGGCTGTGGTGTGGATATGCCTAGACCTAGTGCAGTCAGTAGAATGTGTGGTTGGTTGGTTGGTTGGTTGGTTGGTTGGTGGATGTGGGAGTGCTGCTGGCGGCCAGTCAGAGCAACGCGGTGCGGCACACTATCGGTGTGGTGGACAATGCGGGGTCAGTGGTGGTGCATGTCACTGGGGGAGGGTGGTCGTGGTAGCTGTGGTTGCAGGAGTTATGGTTCGTGGTAGGGCGGCACTGTGGCAGTGAGTGAGAGTGGCGAAAGATTGAGCAACACAGTGTTGCACACTATCGGCATGCTAGACAATGCGGGGTCCATGGTCGTGCACGTCACTGGTGAGGGCAGTTGTGGATATGCCTGTTGGTTGGTGAAAGAGGGGTGCAGAGCGAGAGGCAGAGCAACGCGGTGCTCAACAACACTGCTACATGAGCATACTGGCCAATGCGGGGTGGGTTCATGGAGCATGCATGGGATGGGATGGGATGGGATGGGATGGGATGGGATGGGATGGAATGGGACGGAATGGGACGGAATGGGATGGGGTGAGGTGGGGTGGGGTGGGGTGGGACGGGTCGGGAGGGGACGGGGCGGGATGGGGTGGGGTGGGGTGGGGTGGGGTGGGGTGGGGTGGGACGGGACGGGACGGGACGGGACGAGGCGGGGAGGAGAGCGGTGGGGTGGGGTGGGGTGGGGTGGGGTGGGGTGGGGTGGGGTGGGATGGGATGGGAGGGGACGGGACGAGACGGGAGGGGACGGGACGGGGACGGGACGGGGCGCGCACATGTCGTGCCAAGAATGGCTCATCGCTCCTTCATGTCTCCCCTTCTCGTCCCACTTCCCTCCCCTCCTCCTCTCCGCACCCGCGCCCACTGGCACCTGGTCCTGGTACAGGTGGCGTCATGTCATTGGTGGGGGCGATTCTGGTGGGTCCGCGCAGCAGGCTGTGGCACTGTGTGTAGTGTGAGTGAGTGTGTGGAGTGGAGAGGGGTGGCGGTGGCGGCGTGTGACACCAGCAGTGTGCCACGAGCAGCGAGGTGGAGCCGTGTGCCGCTGCCAGCATTGGGGTGGTGGCGGGGCTCATGTGTCTTCTCGGCTGCTGGCTCATGTTCCGGTGGGAGCGGGGGGTGTGGCTCAGTCACCGACGGTGCTGGGGTGATGATGGGGAGTCGAGCTGGACTGGTGGTTCGCCTACGAGAGAGGGTCCCACACCTCGTACTCGTGTCACTGCATCGCCCACAGGTGCGGGTGTTGTTGCATCTTGCCTGGTCTGTCTTTATTATTTGTCCATAGTTCTAATACATTTATGTTTCATAGCAGGGAAGCGCTTGCCGCTAAGGAGGCGGCCGAAGCTCTACCAGTCTTCGACATGGTCGACGACATCGTCCGCGTGACGGCTGACCTTCTGGGACGCTCTGCCCCGAAGCACCAACGGTTCATGGACCTCCAACAGCTCTTCAGAGAGACAAGTCTGGAAGTCCAGGGCATATACCAAGTTCGGTGGCTGTCTCGAGGTGAAGCCATACTTCGCATCCTTGCCGTGTGGCCTGCAATTGTGATTTTCCTCAAGGAGTACCATTCCGCTATGTATCTGCTTGCCACCTCGTACATGTTTCATTTTTTTCATGTACTTTCTGGCTGATGTTCTTGAGCAGCTAAACCTCCTGAACAAGTTCTTCCAGCAACGCCAGGTAATTTAGTTTGACTGAATATGTTTTACATTGTCGCGGAAGCTACCATACTGACACAGTGTTCCTCCCCTTTCTCCCGTTGGCTGTTGGATCTTATCTTTCTTCATGCTCAGATCAAGCGCACGACCTCACACCTAGAGAGTCGATACGTCAACAGTGGGGACGACTTCGGCGGTGGCTTGAGCCGCTGGCTCTCTCCCTTTATCGAACGCTACGATTCTGGAAAGAAGCGCGACGTGACTGTGGTGGGAGTCGACTCCGACGGCCGACCCGAGAAAATCACCTTCACGCTCCACAACAACCCCGTGGATGGGTATGACTGCCCTGAGGATCACGACGGATGCATTGACCTCTGCACCGACTTTGCTGAACGCATCGTGGCGAACCTGGAGAGGAGGCTGGGTGACCTGGACTCACTGTCTGGTGTCAGGCTGTTCATGCCTGATGAGTGGCCGAAGGGCAAGCCGGAGCGACATGCACGATGTGTGGAGTGGTTGCTATCGCTGGTAAAGTAACCATCGTTCATCCCGGTTGCTCTACCTCTGGTAACTGCCGTTTGCCCATTCCCTAGTGCCACGATTCACACTCAGCCTAGTAACTCGTGCTACCTTGTTTGCCCCTCCCTCAACCCACTATTACGCCTTTCAGGAATCAACAAGCGACAGGCACAGAAGGAGCTTCGGTTGTTCTGCTCTGTCCTTGCTGCTGCACCACAGGGGGAGAGGACGTTCCACGAGGGCCTCACCGCGATCCTGAAGACTCCAGACTGGCGCAAGAGCTACCCCAACCTCGTGCAGCTGTGGGTGGTGGTTGCGGTGATTTCCCTTAGCACTGTTGAGTGCGAAGGGGCTTCTCGCGCCAAAACGTCATCAAGTCGTGGCTTCGGGGTGGGCTGAAGGATGCAAGACTGGGTGACTTGATGTGCTTGTCTCTGATGCCGTATGAGCCGGTGTTTGACGAGGTGGTGGACATCTGGAGAAGCTACAAGAAGAGGAAGCCATTTTCAAACTCCCCCATTTCCACCCCAGGAGAACCCAGCAAGAAGGGGAAAGCTTTAGCCATGGAAGTAGAACACCCCAAGCCTGTAGATGCTCTCGACTTATCTAGTGATACCGTAATGACAATGATGAGGATGAAGATGATGTTGACGAGGATATGGCTTAAGTAGTAGGACACTCTAAAGAAAGTTCAGCCTATTTTATTTGGTGACTCTGATTGAACAGCTTCTTTACCAATGGCAACACTGGAAAGTCAGTTTTTTTAACAAACAAGACATTGATGGGTCAGCCAATAGCATCCTCCAGAGACTGACGATTCAACCTAGACTAAAACGAATTTGAGTCCCTGGTCACAAATGTATTTTTGACAGATTGTGATACTCCGAAACCAGTATTTGTGACTAAACGTGATCACTAGAAATCATACTAGTTTCTAGTTGTGTTACCCTGAACCATCAAAAGTCATAATCTTACCAGATGTTTTATTAAGAGTGGTTCGTTTCTTGATTTCAGTGCATCACAATTAGTCACGATTCTTGTTTCGTAGTGTCACAAGGTAGTCACTAATACTTTTGCAACACTTGTCAGAACTAGCAGGTAAGAATGATGGACTAGTAGCATGAGATGAGCACAAGTACTATGTCTAACCCTAAAGTGTCGTACTCAATAGTGGCTAACCCACTACAACCTATAGATATACAAACACAGTTTGACACACCCCCATAGTCAAAGTGGGGGATAGGAATTACAACCAACGGTCACAAGACCAGTGAAGCAAGTGAACAAAGCAAAGCTCAGGGTGAAGTTCAAGATCATCACGCAGTTTGAGCACAAGCAAGCGACCACAAAGCCAGTTCACATGCAGAGTTATAAAAGTACAAGCAGTATAGTTATCACAACCTAGCCAGAGCAACCATGCAGGTATATATATATATGTATATATCACAGTACAAGCCAAATCAAGCAACCAGCTGGTGAGGCAGAGTAGGCACAAGGCCAAGAAGAGTGCAGAAACGGTGATGATCACCAGGCACAAAGGCCTTGGTGAAGTCATCAGCAGTGTTGGCCCGAGAGGCTACGTAAGCAAGGCGCAGCTGACCACGCTGCTGCAACGCTCGAGCAAGAAAGCAACGAAGAGCAATGTGCTTCGTTCTGTGCTCCAGTCTCTGCTCCCGACACAAGGCAATCATGGCCTTGTTGTCGACGTACAGGACTGGAGGAGAACGAGGCCGCTCACCCAAGTCGGTCAGTAAGTAGGTCAGCCAGCATAACTCCTGTGTAGCCATAGCCCCAGCGTAGATCTCGGCCTCACAGCTAGACCCAAGCACAGAAGACAAACGAGTGGACCTCCGTGAGACAGAACCAAAGCCGAGATTGAAAGAGTAACCCTGTGACGACCGCTGAGTCCCCTGGTCATCGGCCCAAGAAGCGTCGTAGTATTCTGTGAGTACCACAGGACCATGTCCTCCAAGCACGAGCCCCATGCCCGAGGTACTTCACAAGTAACGCACTACCCTCTGCGCAACTGTCCAGTGCTCCTTCCTGTGTCGCCCGAGCGCGACGAAGCAAGCAAAGATGTTGAGAGGCTACGCGAGGTCAGGTCGTGTCCACGTCATCAGGTTTTTGAGGCAGCTCACAAGCTCTGGATACGGGCCACTCGGCTCTACGGACTCGTCTGAAGGTGGAGCTGGGAGCGAGTGGCCTGTAGGCAGAGGAGTGCGCTGTAGCGAGGAGAACTGAAAGCCGAAGCGCTGAGGGACCTGCTACACCATGTGCTACTAAGTCAGAGTAATGGTGCGCCTTGCTCTGTCCCGGGTGATCTATAAGCCAAGATAGCTACGCACCTCACCCAGGTCAATGCAAGTGTGTCTCTTCTGCAGCTCCGCCTTCACAAGGGTCAGCGCCTCAGTGTTGGCAGTCGTTAACGTACACAACGATGTAGAATGGCGGCAGAGTAGGGTCGGTGCGCAGAAACAGCGACGGGTCAGCAGACGAAGGAGCAAACCCAAGAGCCGCAAGTCTCGTCCTCAGTGTGTCGTGCCACTCGCGGGGCGCCTGACAGAGACCATAGAATGGCCGCCGGAGGCTCCACTGAGTACCCTCAGGAAACAACCGAGTGAAGCCAGATGGGCGGCGCAGCCAGATCTCCTCGTGAAGGCTGCCCTGCAAGAAAGTTGTGGAGAATTCGAGGGAGTGCAGCTCGTAGTCACGCTGATGCAACGTGCAGTAACACCCGAAGAGTAGTCATCTTTGGGGTGGGGGAGAGGGTCTGGAAGAAGTCGACCCCGTGTCGCTGACTGAAGCCTTGAGC